GATCTGTCAACATAATAAAAAATAAAATAAATGTATATATGTATATGTGTGTGTATATATATGTGTATATATGTATATATATATTTTTTAAATTATATTGTATACATATTTTTAATTAAAAATTCTAAAAGCCTGTAAAGTGGGCAAGTACAGTATATTAGAGTAGCATAAACTAAGCTGTCTATATTAGTAGAAAAATAAAAGTTGCTGGTTAAATATGGGAAAAAATAATTGGTGGTTGCCTGAGGATAAGGGGATGGAGCAAAAAAGATCCACTGGTCTACCTTGCATGTAGGATGGATTTTGTAATACGAAACTCAGGTCATTTAAAAAATATTTGGTTCACTGATTTTACAGATCTTACAAATGTAAGCACATTTTATTACATAATTTCAAAAATCACATATCATCAGAAAAGTCTATAAATGTCAAATAACTGACAAGCTCACAATGGTCTATAGTGTTTCAAAATTCTGATTTTCACTTGAAAGCTCAAATTTTATCAGACTAGCTTTATTTTAACGAAGGACCACAGTGAGACTTCTGTCAAGATGCTGTGTAGGTACTTGCATCCTCCCACAACCACATCAAAATGACAGCTAAACAACAGAACAACCATTATTCAGAACCACCTGAAATCTAACAAAACTGTAAATCTACTTTTTCCCACCCCTGTATGGTTTCAGATGGGTACTAGATTTATCAGAGTGATTTTCATAAGTTATATAAATGTCTAATCACTGGGTTGTACACTTGAAACTAATATATTGTACATCAATTGTAATTGAAAAATAAAAAAAACAACAGAAAGAGTAATAAAAAAGAAAAACCACTGTAGCTATTTTTAAAAAATAAGAATTCCCGCCCTGGCCGGTTTTGCTCAGTGGTTAGAGCGTGGGCCTACGAACCAGAGAGTCACAGGTTCCGCTCCCACTAAGGGCATATACCTCAGTTGCAGTTTGTCCCTGGCCCTGGTTGGGGTTGTGTGGGTAGGGTAATCTTGCTTGTAGGTCTTGCTTTTTGTAACTTTGAATACTTTGTGCCAGTTCCTTCTGGCCTGCAAAGTTTCTGATGGGAAATTAGCTGACAGTCTTATAGGAGCTCCTTTCTAGGTACCTAACTGCCCTTTTCTTGCTACTTTTAAGGTTCTCTTTTTGTCTGTAACCTTTTGCATTTTTATTATGATGTGTCGTTGGGTTCATCTTGTTTGGGACTCTCTGCACTTCTAGGACTTGTATGTCTATTTCCTTCACTTGGGTAGGAAAGTTTTCCATTATTATTTTTTCATATAGATTTCAGTTCCTTGCTCTTTCTCTTCTTTTTCTGGGATCCTCATGATGCGAATGTTGGTGCACTTGATGTCTATAACTAAGGATATAAAGAAGAAGCCTGGAAGAAGGGGCAGAGACACAAAATGGGCTGGCCCCACACTCTCATGTGGCAGTAAATATCAGAAGGATTTCCCCCCTGAGAAACAAGGGGTTCCAGCCCCACTCCAGCTGCCCCAGCCAAGGGTTCCAGTGCCAGGAAGGGAAGTCCCCATAACTTCTGGCTGTTAAAACCAGCAGGGGTTGGGGCTGAGTGAGATGGAGGGCTTCTAGAGTCCCAGGTGCTCCTCACAAAGCCCACACATGACTTGCTCAATCTCACTGCTCTGAGCTCCAGCACTGGAGCCTTAACTCAAAAGGTACCACGGACATGTGAGGAGGAAATGAATTGTATGACCTTGGGGTGAGAGTTGGAGAGGCAGTTTTCTCACAGACAGCAGTGTTAGCAGAGGCCATTGTTTCGCTATTGAGCCCTCCAGTAATCAGCTTCAGACCACCTGGAACATCACCCAACCACCTCCAAAAGTGACACATTTAAGGGGTGAACTCATTGAGCACCACAGTCCTGCTGAAGCGAGTCCTGTTCTGTGGGGTCAGCCCCTCTGCACAGCAGCTCCACTGTTGTAGTCACTGCCCGTTCTCACAGCCCATTGGCTGAAGGTAAATCCCTCCCACTGATGTGCCAACAGCAATCAAGACTACAACAGGAGGGTGCACATAGCCTACACAAGGTGGAGAATGGGGGACACACACCTGGAGCACCCAGCTTGGGTTACCAGGGAGTCTGTGCCACTGGGCCCCACTGCATACCTACTTCGTAAGGCCACTCTTCCAAAACTGGGAGATGTAGCAGCTCTATTAATACATAGAAATAAACGCAGGAAGACAACCAAAATGAGCAAAGAAACATGTCCCAAGTGGAAGAACAGAACAAAATTCCAGAAAAAGAACTAAATAAAATGGAAATACGCAATCTAACAGACCCAGTATTCAAAACACTGGTTATGAAGATGCTTGATAAACTTAGGGGTAGAGCAATAAAGAGAGAGAAAACAAAATAATGAAAATTAAAACATTAAAAAAGACAGTCAGAAATAAAGAATACATTCCAGGAAATCAACAGTGGAGTAGATGAAGAAGAGGATCAGCAGTTTGGAAGACAAGGAAACAGAAAACACCCAGAACAGCAAGTCGATGTGTCTCTCTCAAGTTGATGTTTCTCTCTCTCTCTTCTCCCCTCTCTCCCTCCTGCTCTATCTGAAGATAAATGTAAAATGTCCTCAGGTGAGGATAAAAAAAGAAAAAAATGAATTACTGAACACCTGCGCCGCCTCCAGCTCGCAGAGCTCCAGCCAAAGGAGAAGGGGGGTAAGTAAAGAGGTCTCTATACCATGCCTGGAACAAAGCAGACTGCCCGCAAATCCACTGGTGGTAAAGCACCGAGGAAACAACTGGCTACAAAAGCGGCTCACAAGAGTGTGCCCTCCACTGGAGGGGTGAAGAAACCTCATCGTTACAGGCCTGGTACATGGCACTTCGTGAAATTAGACGTTATCAGAAGTCCACTGAACTTCTGAGCCGCAAACTTCCCTTCCAGTGTCTGGTACGAGAAATTGTTCAGGACTTCAAAACAGATCCGCGCTTCCAGAGTGCAGCTACTGGTGCTTTGCAGGAGGCAAGTGAAGCCTATCTGGTTGGCCTTTCTGAAGACACCAACCTGTGTGCTATCCATGCCAAACGTGTAACCATTATGCCAAAAGACATCCAGCTAGCATGCTGCATACGTGGAGAACATGCTTAAGAATCCACTGTAATGGGAAACATTTCATTCTTTTAAAAAAAATTCTCTTCTTCCTGTTATAGGTAGTTCTGAACGTTAGATACTTTTTTTCCATGGGGTCAAAAGGTACATAAGTATATGATTGCAAGTTGAAAATAGGGGGCAGAAATCAGGTACTGCAGTTTTTCCATTTTCATTTGTGTGTGAATTTTTTAAATATAAATGCGGGGACATAAGGCATTAATGCAAGTCAAAATGTTTCAGTGAACAAGTTTCAGCAGTTCAACTTTATAACAATATAAATAAACCTGTTAAATTTTCCTGGACAATGCCAGCATTTGGATTTTTTTAAAACAAGTAAATTTCTTATTGATGGCAAAAAGAAAAAAGAATTACCTAGTCTATCAGTCATTCTTTCAAGTGAAAATGATGTTCTGTGAAAGAGTGGCTAGTTCAGCTCACAATCCAAACTATCCTACCAGTCCTTTTCCTCAAGACAACCATCCTACTCCTGTAGGCAAAAGTGTTTTTTAAGTACCACTCATTTCTTCACACAGAATGTTAAAAAATTTCAAGAACTGAGATTTGATAAAATTCGCAATTTTTACTGCTTCAACAAGGTCATTCTTATGTAAAACTGGCTCTTTAACACTGCATATTAATAATAGTGAAGAAGCCCTGGCCGGTTTGGCTCAGCGGTTAGAGCGTCCGCCTGCGGTCCGGAGAGACCCAGGTTCGGTTCCCGCTAAGGGCACGTACCTCGGTTGCAGTTTGTCCCCGGCCCTGGTTGGTCGTGCGGGTGGCAGCCACTCGATGTGTCCCTTTCACATCGATGTTTCCCTCTCTCTCTCTTCCTCTCTCTCCCTCCTACTCCGTCTGTACAAAAAATGGAAAAATGTCCTCAGATGAGGATTAAAAAATAAATAAATAAATAAATAAATAATAGTGAAGAAAATTACTATTAGTACAGGTTGGTGCCACTATCTTGATTGTTCAAAGACACCAATAGCTTTACCCAATATTGCTTCTGCCTCTGTACAAATGTCAAGACAGTAAAAAAAGGTAAATAACATCTTAGTATTTCTATAAAATACTTTTGGCTTCACAGAACACCTAAAAATAATCTCAAGACTCTCCAGCCTGGCTGGTGTGGCTCAGTGGTTAAGCATCGACCCATGCACCAAGAGGTCACCGGTTTGATTCCCGGTCAGGGCATATGCCCAGGTTGCGGGCCCAATCCCCAGTGGAGGACATGGAGGAGGCGGCCAATCGATATTCTTTCTCATCGATGTTTCTATCTCTCTCTCCCTCGCCATTCCTCTATCTCTAAAAAATCAATAAAGAAAAAAATTTGAAAAAAAAAAAAAAAAAAAGACTCTCCAGAGCTCCAACCCAGACACTCCAACTCTGCTGCCATGCCCTGCATGTCATCCTCAAAAGCAGCCAGGACCCTGGGATGAGGGACAGTGAGACAGCCCCTCCCTGACACCCACTGTCCCTCAGGAACACAAAGCAGACAGCTGAATCGTGGATAGATACATACAAACAGTACTATTATGATGCCACACTGCTACTTCTTGAGAATTGCTGTTCTAAGACACTGAAAGAACTTTAGGGAAGTAGAGTTCACAAACATTAGAATATTGAAGAGGCAAAAATCGTTCAGGTCTCTTTCTAGTCCCATTCTATCATTTTATAAATGAGGAAACTAGAGCACAAAGAAGATAGGGTTTACCATCTCATATATTAGCAGCAGAGATGTGATAGCACTTAGGACTTCTGAGTTTTTTCCTACTGTTCTGTGCATTACACTAGTCTTCTTTTTTTCAAACATGGATTTAGAAAATTCCACATTCTCCTTCTTTAAACTGAACAATGGCATATATACATACATTTTGTGGAGAAAAGGAGTTTATCTTTCTTAATGGAGAGTTGAGTTTTGTGGTCTTTCCTGAAGCAACTTTTGTATCCAAACGGTGCACTTCCTTTTCAAAACAATGACGTTTTCTAATCTGTAAACACAAAACCAAAATAAAGGTCAAAGTAAACCAAAAGTTTAAGCAGGCTGGGGGGGTGGGAAATAAGTAGTGAAGGAAGGAAACTTGACTTGGGTGGCTAACACACAATATAGTGTACAAATGATGTGTTGTGAAATTGTACACCTGAAACCTGTACAGGATATGGCAAAAGTAGGTTTGCAGTTGTTTGTATGGAAAATGATGCAATAATTAATAAATAATAATATAAGAATAAACTCTGTGTTTCACATACAACCGTCACCTACTTTTGCCTCACCCTGTATAATTCTGTCAAGCAGTGTTACCCTAATAAATTCAATAAAAAGAAAGAAAAAAAAAGTTTGAGCAGGCTGGTTGTTCCCAAAGGTCAAAATAGCTATAATGTATGTTTTCAGCATTTAAAAAAATGACTATTTCTAACCTGCAATCAAATAATTTTTAAAAACACAAATAGACACCTTATTACAAGATTTAAAATACAATACAGTAATACCTCTTGAATGCTAAACAAAATAACTTTAATTAGTGATAAGTCAAAACTATAATACAGCCGTGGCCATTCTGGCTCAGTGGTTGGAGCATCAGCACAAGGACCAACAAGTCACGGGTTCGATTGCAGTCAATGGCATGTGCCTCGGTTGCAGTTCGGTTCCTGGCCCTTGTCGGGGTCATGTGGGAGACAACCAATCAATGTCTCTCTCTTGCATCGATGTTTCTCTCTCTTCCTCCCACTCAGACTGAAGATAAATGAAAAAATATCTTTGGGTGAGGATTTAAAAAAACAAAAACTACAGAACTAAAAAATGATTTCATAAAATAGTTCCACCATGTCAACACCAAGTATAGTACTACAGTCAGCCCTCGTTTATCATGGTTAATCAGTTCCAGACTCTACCGCGATACATGAATGTCCGCAAAGTAGGATTCTTTATTTAAACACAGTCATCTCTCACCACTGACACCATGAAAGTCCAAGCGAAGTGGTGAAGGACGACTGTATAGTAAAGTCCAAATTACATATCTAGTTAGAAAGCAAAAGCAAATAAAATGGAAACTTCATTCTAAATTAAAAGAATCAAGATAAAAATTTTAAATGTAAATAAATATTCATAATATCTTACATGACAGAATATATTACTTGATTACTATTATTCCTATTACTTACTAGATTAAGTAACAATCCACGTTGTATTTGACTAAATTTCTTTAATAAATACCAGAGTTTCCTTTCCAAACTGTCTATGCTTTTTCCTACTTGCCAAAACCTTGTTTATTTAAATTTTAAGGGGGGAGTGGTGGCATTTCTATTGATGATCCCATTCCTACCAAAAAAGAAATGAGACCCAACGAAGTCAAGCAATGAATGTTATATGTTGAGCCCTACCTCACAACATGCAACTCTACGTACACTTTTTTGGGGAACAATTGTAAATAAAATACATAAACTACAGAAGAATACATATTCAACTGAATTTATTCAATAAAAAATATACAATTAATGTACAAATACAATGCTATTTAACCATCATCTTTTTTTATTTGTAACTAAATCTATTAAAGTTCCAGCCTCTCTATCTCACTGCGATGAACTCTATGAGAAAACATGGTATTCATCTATAAAAAGGACGTATCATTTAAAATATCTAAGCCCAGTTGGTGTGGCTCAGTGGTTGAGCATCAACCCATGCACCAAGGGGTTGCTGGTTCGATTCCTGGCGAACACACCCAATTTGTGGGTCCGGGCACATGCCCAGTTTGTGGGCCCGATCCAGAGTGGGGGGCATGCAGGAGGCAGCCAATCGATGTTCTCTCTCATCGATATTTCTATCTCTCTCTCCCTTTCTCTAACATCAATAAAGAAAAAAAATTTTAAATATCTAGTAATTTAGGTGTTTCAATAATTTTTAGAAATAAACATTTTATCATAAATTGGTATTAAAAACTCAATAAATAAGAGTAAACCTTGTGCCCAGTCGATGTAGTTCAATGGTTGAGCCTTGACCCATGCACCAGGAGGTCGCAGGTTCGACTCCTGGTCAGGGAACATGCCCAGGTTTTGGGCTTAATCCCCAGTGTGGGGCATGCAGGAGGCGGCCAGTCAATGTTCTCTCTCATCGATGTTTTTATCTCTCTCCCTCTCCCTTCCTCTCTCTCTAAAATCAATAAAGAAAATAAAATTTTTTAAAAAAAGAGTACATTTTGTAAATATACTAAAACTATCACTACCAAAAATATCCATGACATAAATATTCATATCAAAGATATTTTGCCCAAAATAATATGCCACTATTAGATAAAAACAACAAAGGAGTTAAAAAGTACAATGTAGTTATTATTAACATATGTCTTAAGTAAATATTTTACTATCAAACTCCTTGCATATAAGAACCATTCAGTTTCACTTTAATGACACATTATTGTAAATAATCTTGTATAATAACAAACTCCTTTGTAATAAGTACATAAAATTAAATTACAAAAATTTACCAAATAATTTACATCTATGACCCAACTAATCTCCACAAGTGCCACTGAAAACTAGATTGATACCTGGTGGCCTTGTTCAGCTGTAACTAAATGGGATTATTTCATTGCCAATAAACTGTTTACCTCCTGTGTAGTTTCTAAGGATCGAATTCGTTTCTTCTCTACTTGAAAATCATCGTTTTCATCTCTGTATAGGGATGCCTGTTTCTTGGCAGATAACTCTGCAGCCAGCGTAGTTTTTTCAGGAGAGTCTTACAGAAGAAATTTAAAAATTAGCATAAATAACTTACATTTAGGCAATTTTTCTAAGAAAGAATTGTAATCAAGATGTAGACTTATTTCTGAAAAATAACATATTTAAAAACATGAATTGCCAAACACGTTTAAAAGGACTTCTTTACCACTGTTTAAAAAAAGTACAGCAAACATTTTGCAAAGAAATATACTTTCAATAGGGAAGTCTAATTTTGATTTAACAGGTTTCTACTATTGTAGATCACTCCCAATAACGTGATTTAAAAAATATAAGACTTTTTCAAGAAAATGTATTTCATTTCTATAAAAATCTTTCTTTAGTGTCTCAATGTCACTTTCCTACTAAGTTTCTCAATGCTCCTTAGGATTAAAAATATAGTAAAATCAAACTGTTATAATCTACCTTTTAAACCCACAATCCTGAAAACTCATTCTCAAGGTCATCAATGACCTCTTAATCACCAAATAGTATTATCAACATTTTACCAATGTGAACACTAGGTTTTAAAGAAGTAACATGCCAGTATCATACAACTAGTAAGAGGCAGAGCCTGGATGTGACTATCTCCTGCTGTCTGACTCCAACATCCATAAGCATAACCTCTAGGCATAAAGCCAAACAACACGGTTCTTCTGGAACGGAACAAGTGCATTTCCTTTTTCCTTAATGTCTGTAAAACTGTTCTTAACTATTCCTATACATTGGTTTCTTACTTTCCCTAAATGTGCACTCTTAAAACTACCTTCCTTCCTCTTTGCTCTCCTCTACAGTCCCTAGAATTAATTTAACAAACAAGTATTTATTTTATCGAGTCCATAGAATTCCGGACACCATGGAAAAACAATGAAAAAGAAACAGTCCCTGCCCTTAAAGGACTTACAGAGAACAATAGGGGAGAAAGCCCTATAGAGAGGTCCAACACGTTTTTTAAAAAAAAACAAGTTTATGCCCTGGCTGGTTTGGCTCAGGGGTTAGAGTGTCAACTGTGATCCAGAGAGACTGGGTTCGGTTCCCGCTAAGGGCATGTACCTCGGTTGCAGTTTGTCACCGGCCCTGGTTGGTAGTGGCAGCCACTCGATGTGTCCCTTTCATGTCGATGTTTCTCTCTCTCTCTCTCTTCCTCTCTCTCCCTCCCACTCTATCTGAGCAAAAAATGGAAAAATGTCCTTGGGTGAGGGAAAAACAAACAAACAAGTTTATCTGTATAAACACAGAAGTGAATCTATGCCATACAGCACTGGTTTTCAAGCTTTTTCTGAGGACAATACTTTTTAAAGAAAAATTGCTTATAATTTCAAAAACAGGATGAAAGACTTAGAATTTCTTTGATCCACCATTATTCTTTTCCTCCTACAAGCCATGCTTTTTCCTAAGACTCATAGGAACAGTTTGAAAACCACTATATTCTAGCCCAGGACGATTTGGCTCAGCGATTAGAGCGCTGGCCTGTGGTCGAGAGAGGCCCAGGTTCGGTTCCCACTAAGGGCATGTACCTTGGTTGTGCTGGTTTGTCCCTGGCCCTGGTTGGGTCGTGCACGGAGGCAGCCACTCGATGTGTCCCTTTTCACATCAATGTTTCTCTCTCTCTCTCTCTCCCTCCCACTCTATCTGAACAAAAAATGGAAAAATGTCCTCAGGTGAGGATAAAAAAAGAAAGAAAACCACTATATTATAAAATCTTAAAGTTTTGCCTTTCATTCCTAGGTCTTTAATCTACCTGGAATGGACTTCTGTGTATGGAGTAATGTAGGCTCCAATTTCAATTTTTTCCTATAGGAATATCTAAGAGTCCCAGTACCATTTATGGAAAAGTACCCCCTTTGCACTGTGCTTTATAGGAGCACTTCGATAAAATGTCAAGTTTCAGGCTATATGTGAAACTAAATTTGGATTCTCTATTGTTTTCCACTGGTCCACCACTGTACTGTGCCAGTACCAAACTGGTTTAATTACTTTAGCTTTCTAGATAATAAATCTGGATATCTCTTAGATTAAGACCTCTCACCTTGACCAGCTTCTCAAAAGTGTTTTTGGTTATTATTTTTAGTCCTTTGCATTTCCATATATATATTCTGGAAAGACATGTAATTTCGAGCTCCGCAATCCCCTGGCAAACGGTAAAATACCCACAAAACAAATCTAGGGCAGTGGTTCTCAACTGGGACAATTTTAACACCCCCACACCAGGGACATCGAGCAATCTCTAGAGATACTTTTGGTGTCACAAAAGGCAGCGGACAAGGACAACACTACTGGCATCTAGTGGTTTGAGGCCTGGGAGATGGTGCTAAACAATGCACAAAATATCCCACAACAAAGAATGAATCCATTCAAAATGTCAATAGTGCCACTGTTGAGAAACCGGCCCCAAATAAACCAAAGAAAAAATTTGTATGTGCCCATTAAAGGGTAGAAAATGTCTTTCAGCCCTGGCTGGTTTGGATCAGTGGTTAGAGCATCAGCTTGTGGTCCTGAGAGACCCGGGTTTGGTTCCCGCTAAGGGTGCATACCTTGCTTGCAGTTTGTCCCAGGCCCTGGTTGGTCGTGCGGGGGTGGCAGCCACTCGATGTGTCCCTTTCACGTTGATGTTTCTCTCTCTCTCTCTCTCTCTTCCTCTCTCTCCCTCCCACTCTACCTGAACAAAAAATGGAAAAATTCCCTCGGGTGAGGATTTAAAAAAAAAAGAAAAGAAAACGTCTTTCATACACGATAATTTAGTTTTAGAAAAACTGAACTGCCACATGCCAAACAAGATTAACTCCCAATTCATTAAAATATAAATCATATTATCTGCATGTACAAAAAGGTACATCTTATGTTATTTATAGCAGGGAAGTTTGCAGGAAGCTTACTAAAAAGTTTAAGTCCTAAAAATACAAAGTTATAAAGAAATGAGATGTATCTAGAATCTTTTTTTTTTTTAACTCCTAGAAATCAGTAAAATTGGGGTCGTGTGGTGGCAGCCACTCGATGTGTCTCTCTCACATGGATGTTTCTCTCTCTCTTCCTCCCTCTCAATCTGAAGATAAATGCAAAAAAAAGAAACAACCCAATAAAAAAATGAGCAGTTCTGGCCAGAGTTGGTCAGTGGTTAGAGTGTCGGCCCATGCACCAAAGGGTCAAGAGTTTGATCCTTATTCAAGGGCAAATACCTGAGTTGCAGATTTAATCCCCCGGCCCCAGTTGGGGGGTCATGCAGGAGGCAACCAATCGATTGATGTGTCTCTCGCATTGCTAAATCTCTCTCCTTCCCACTCTTTCTAAAAATCAATGGAAAAAATATCCTCGGGTGAGGATTAACAACCACCAAAAAATTAAGAATAATGCATACACCAGAAGAACAGAGGAAGAAAGAAACAGAGGGCCCATTCAAATAATCTATGAGAACCTTCCAAATCTATGGAAAGAATTGGGTCCTCGAATCCAGGAAGCTAACAAAATACCTAATTATCTTAATCCAAAAAGGCTTTCTCCAAGGCACATTATATTAAAATTGTCAAAAACTAACAACAAAGAAAGAATACTAAAGGCAGACAGGAAAAAGAAGACAGTAACCTATAAAGGGAACCCTATTAGAGTATTATCATATTTTTCAGAATACTAAACTCAGAATTTCAGGCAAACTTTATCAAGACTAAATGACACTAATTAGATTTTATCTTACAACACAAATTAATATTTTATAAAATTCTAACATAATTAACAATACTGCTTACAAATAACATCAATTTCTGAATATTATTTATTCTGCCTTGACTTCTTCAAAAAATAATTTAAACTAGCAAAATGTCTGAATAAATTAAAAGTCAAGCCTAGAATAAAACAGTCCAAGGATTTCTAACTACTCTGTCTAAAAATAATTCCAGCTACACCCTGGCAGGTTTGGCTCAGTGGTTAGATCATCGGCCTGCAGACCAAAGAGTCTCAGGTTCAATTCCGGTCAAAGGCACAAACCTCGATTTTGATTTGGTCTCCAGCCCTCATCAGGGCTGGGCAGGAGGCAGCCAATTGATGTGTCACACATTGATGTTTCTCTCTCTCTCCCTCTCCCTCTATCTGAAGATAAATAGAAAAATATCCTTGGGTGAGGATTAAAAAATAAATAAATAAATAAAAATACTTCTAGCCTGTCCAGTGTGGCTCAGTGGATTGAGTGTCATCCCATGGACTGAGAGATCCTGGTTCGATTCCCAGTCAGCGTACACGCCCAGGTTGCAGACTCAATCCCCAACAGGGGGGTGTGCAGGAGGCAGCCAATAGATGTTTCTATCCCTCTCTCTCCCTCTAAAAAAAAAATCAGTAAAAACGTATTTAAAATAAATAATTCCAGAGAAAATAGGTGGGAATGCATAATCAATTATGCTAATCAAATTTACCTAAATAAATTTTCATAACAGCAAATAAGCCTTTTATTAATAGATGCCAACAGACCCAGGCAAAATATAAACTACCTCGACAAGGTGATGAAGTGCCACTTCTTTCAGAAGGTGGTGTACTTGGACTACTGAAATGACGCGAAGTTCCTTGGTTTGTGTCATTGTTTGTAGAATTCTTTGAATGGCATTTACAACAACATGACAATGGTACCTCAGCTTTTTTATTTAAGCTTTCATCCACTGGCTTTCCTAAAAAATAAAAGAACCTCTATAATATTTCTAATTGTTTTTAAAAAAATCAATCTTTCTCTGCAGCTAGGGTGAATAACCACCCCAATTTGCCAGGGATTGGGAGGTATCCCAGGATGCAAGATTCTCTGTGTTAAAACTGAAAAAGTGCCCTGGCCGGTTTGGCTCAGCGGTTAGAGCGTCGGCCTGCGGTCCGGAGAGACCCGGGTTCGGTTCCCGCTAAGGGCACGTACTTCGGTTGCAGTTTGTTCCCGGCCCTGGTTGGTCGTGCGGATGGCAGCCACTCGATGTGTCCCTTCACGTCGATGTTTCCGTCTCTCTCTCCCTTCCTCTCTCTCCCTCCCACTCTATCTGTACAAAAAAATGGAAAAATATCCTCGGGTGAGGATAAAAAAAAAAAAAAAAAAAAACTGAAAAAGTACTTGGCAAATGTGGACAAGCTAGTCACCCTATCTGCAGCATCAAATTGGGACAGAAGAGAAACACTTATGCCAGAAACCTGTAGAAAAGTTATCATGATAGTTACATAATATATTAAAATATAATAATAGTGCCCTGGCTGGTATGGCTCAGTTGGTTGAATGTCATTCTGTGCACCAAAAGGCTGCCAGTTGGATTCCCGGATGAGGTGCATGCCCAGGTTGCCAGCTGGATCCCAGGTAGGGAATGTGCAGGAGGCAGTGGATTGATGTTTCTCATGTAAATGTTTCTCTCTCTCATTAAAAATAAATAAATTAAAAAAAAAAACAAAGCATAGCTCTCGCCGGTGTGTCTCAGGGGTTAGAGCTTTGGCCCGCAGAGAATGAGTCACAGGTTCAATTCCGGTCAAGGGCACGTCCCTTGGTTGCAGTTTGGTCCCTGGACCTGGTCAGGTCATGCAGGATGCAACCAGTCAATATGTCCCTCTCACATCCATGCTTCTCTCTCTCTCCTTCTCTCTCTCTCTCCCTCCCTCCCACTCTATCTGAAAATAAATGGAAAAATATCCTCCGTTGAGAATTAAAAAAAAACACATATTTAGTGGGGCAGGAGTAAGGAGGAGGGTGTCAATGGGGAAAAAAGGAGGTATATCTATAATAAAAAAAAAATTAATTTTTAAAAAACATGTTTAAATATATATGTAATAATAGTAAAAAATTAATAATGTAACAAAGGCACAATGAATCAAGTATTAATGTATATTGAGATTTATTAAAATATCAAACAGGGAGAATTAAGATAAAGACCTAAAGTATATTCTTAATTACTGATATTTCCCTAGATCAAGAATTTTAAGATTCAATGTTAAATAACAATGTAAACACATAAGGGTTAAATCATTCCCACAATACACTTCTATTTCAAACAGAAACATGTTTCATGATGTATCAATTCTGATACATGTATCAAAATATACTTTAAGGTCAATATTTAATTAAATAAAACAGGTAATTTTTTAATAATTTAATATAATACATCACTGTAGCATCTACATTGTGTGCCTGTGTTTAAATATACAATTCATACATATATAAAAAGCTGAATACTGTAATTTATTTTCTCTAGCAAGTACTGACATTATTTTTCCATCTGTACTACAGAAACACTACTAATTCTATTTCCCAAAAACTCTCATTAAAATTTTAAGTTCTTAACAGATAATCTCATTTTCCCCAAAGGTTAACATAAATCAGAATGGGCAACCAAAAGCTTATAAAATATTTACTTTTATTTTTAATATTTAATACACTCTTAAGCATGAAAATTTCCTTTTAAAAAACACTATATATTCATACATATATGTATACAAACAAACATATACAGATGCACATTTTCATACATACACATATACACCCGTGGTCAACTTTAAGTTCTGCTAAAACTTTAGGTCAAAGCATTCTCATTATGTAACTAAAGGGAATCCAATATTGTATTTCAGGTTCATTATGCATATTAGTCTTTCATAAAAGTAAATATTACTAGGCATTTTTTAGCAAATAAAAGTAATAGAAAATCATATAAATTCATAAAAACAATATTATAACAAATGCTTATTGGGTGGGCATCCAAACAAGTAGGAAGATCAACCAAAATATTTTCTTTTTATATATTCCATGTTTTAATGTTATGAAGAAGGTACAGATAAACAAATATATTAAAAGATTTACTAAAAAAATGGTTCAGACTGACAAACTTCAGAGGAGGGGGGATGGGGGGATGAGATAAACCAAAGAACTTATATGCATGTATGTGTAATCAATGGACATAGACAACAATGCTTGAGAGGGGGTGGGCGGGATAGGGAGGAGGGTGTCTTGGGGGAAAAAAAGAAACATCTGTAACAAAAATAAATTAATGAATAAGAAAAAAAAAAAACACACCCACAATTATTCCTATGTTATAGCATCATGACAGCCCATCTCTTGAATCTTTTACATAAAAATTATAACTATTTTGATAATAACTTTAAGCACGCCAAAATTCTTATATATACTCTGAATCATCAAATAAAAAACTACATTATGTTGAAAATTGTTTTGGGACTAACTGAACATATTTCACCATACTGAAACTCTTTTGGAAGATCTATAACATTATAGAGAAACATCTTAAAAGAGACCATTTAAATTAGCTAAAATATAGATGAATCATTCTGAATGAAAAGTACTTTATTAAGCAACCTAAAGATAGCAATCAGTTACTTACCACTAAGAGATTGCTGCCATGCTAAAGCAGAACAAAGTAAAGCTAAGCTTTTCCCACTTCCTGTAGGGCTTTCCAGCAAACAATGTTGCTTACTGTTTAATCCTCTGACAATCTATGGACACAAAAAACAATTTAAAAAACAATAAACAATTTACTTTATTAGGGTCTCTGTCCAAAAGAAAGAAAGTTCATAGCAGTACTGTTTATAATTGCAAAAGAATATAAACAACCCAAATGTCTATCGGAAGGAAAATGGACAAAAAAATTCTGGTATTCATATAATAGAATACAATAAAGCAATTAAATGGATTAACAATCAAAAGGGCTACCTCTTAAAAATAATGTTAAGCAGCCCTGGACAGCATGGCTCAGTTGGTTGGAACATAATACTGTACACCAAAAGGCAGCAAGTTAGATTCCTGGTCAGTGCACATACTGTGGTTTTGGGTTCAATCCCAGGCCGGAGCATGTGTGGGAGGCAGCCAATCAATGTTTCTCTCTCTCTTCCTCTTCCTAAATTCAATTTTTAAAAATAATAATAACATTAAGCAAAAAGAAACCAAGTTCTTCCCGGCCAGTGTGGCTCAGTGGTTGAGTGTCAACCCCATGCATCAAGAGGTCACCAGCTCAATTCTTGATCAGGGCATATGCCCTGGTTGTGGGACAAATCCCCAGTGGGGGACATGCAGGAGGCGGCCAATCAATGTTCTCTTTCATCAATGTTTCTATCTCTCCCTCCCTCTCCCTTCCTCTCTCTAAAATAAATAAAGAAAAAAAAAATTTTTTTTTAAGAAATCAAGCATACTACAGAAAAACAAGCATACTACCAGATCATTGTGCAAAGTTCAAAAATATGTAAAGTTATACTCTATATTGTTTATGGATACATACATATGTAACAAACATATTAAAACATTGCTAGAAAAGAAAAAGGACAAATTCAGGATACCAGTAATCCTGTTACTTGTAAAGACGGTATAAAGTAAATACAGCAAAAATTAAGATATAACAAAGCTGGTTTACTCAAGTTTATATATTAATTTTCTATATGGTAGAAATATCTCAAAAAATTTATGGTGGGAAATAGAGTAATTTATGTGAAAGACAATAAATATTTTGTAGAATGCAGTAATTCCATAAAGTAGAAGTTCCAAATGAGCTAGAGAACATTGTTCAGAATATCCTCCTTTGCCTCCTAACTAACCATGGACATATAGTTTAGAAGTGATCAGTATTATTTTTCCAAAAGTTAGATGTTCTTCAATGAACCCAGCAAATATTTTCAATCCATTTATTATCTGAGAAAATAAATGTAGTCACAGACTCAATGTATGTTATGAATTACAGGCATATGTATCTTAATAAAGACTTGAAATAACTGCTGAAAAATACTTACAGAATTCATCATAGCAAGCTGAGATGGATAAGCTTTACAAGGAAAGTTAATCTTCACCCCACCAATTGTATATTCAGACCATGCTGAAGACATCATACCTTCTTGTTCACTTCAGATTTCTAACTGCAACACAAATGAAAATTAATATTGAAACCATGCCATTCAAAGAAAACCAGATACCCAACAGCAGGGCAGAAATCTGGAAATAACTATTGTAATTAATGTATAAAGAAAACAAATGAAAGTAAAAGAATTTCCTAGCCACAAATCACAGTGTTTGAGAGCCCATCTTGGAATGTGACCAATCTGGAATGTGTACCCTTCCTCTGCCAAGCAGTAGACCAGGAGTGAGGAAACAGAGGTTCTACTTGTATAAGTTCCGCGCGCTAACCGATTGCGCCACTGGAGCTCCCAGAGGTTCTACTTGTGACAACTCAAACATGCTACCTTGATCATGTCTCTTCACTTCTCTAGACTACGATCCTTATCTGTAACAATCCTTCACTTAAAAACTGTTGTAAGGGGGGAAACTCCTCGGCATATAGTAGGTGCTCAGTAAGTCTTACGTAAAGGTCAGTGCGGTATAACGGAAAGAAGTGGGCTTTGGAGCAAGGCGAGCCTAAGTTTGAATTCCACTGTGTGGATCGCTTAACCTCTCTGAGCCTGTTTCTTCACCTGTGAAATGGAGGTCATTCTATCTACAGGACAGGGTTTCTACGCAAATTATCCAAGCACTGAGTTAAGAATACGGTAGCCACCGAAGGAGTCTGAACCCAGTGTCTGCCAGAGGAGGTGCCCGACTTGAATCTCTGCATCCTTTCCCTCTAGGATCCACAGCTGTCACTCAGAGCCTGTGACCTAGGATCCACAGCTGTCACTCAGAGCCTGTGACCTAGGATCCACAGCTGTCACTCAGAGCCTGTGACCTAGGATCCACAGCTGTCACTCAGAGCCTGTGACCTCTCCACGGTGCCCGTGAAAGTGTCTGTGCACAACGCACTGTCCTGAAGAGACAGTCCATGGATTTCTCGTTCCCAGAAACATATCCTAAGGAAATCATTGAAAATAGAGGGGGAAACGATGACATACACTGTTATCAAGTGAGGGATTATTTGCAAGAGTGGGGAAAAAAAAAAGTGGCCAATTCAATCTGGGGATGGAGGGATGGTCGAAACAGCAATTCCATGGATAACGAAGCCAATAATAACCTTGACCATGGCTAATGCCTGCCACGAGAAGTTCAGGACCGCTATTCTAACCCACTTTCCGGTTCTGATATCTTGTGATTTTCTCCCCGAAGCTCTGAGGATACGAGCCGGTGGAATCCAAGCCCTTATTCCGAACCGAGAACTCAACGCTGGCCTATTGCTCAGATGTCACCTGGAAATCAGCCCATCCCCCGCCTCAATTGTGGCAACAAGCCTTTCAAAATGGGGTCGCTTCCCCCAAATACTGAAATCAAGTTAAAAAAATAAATTAAAAAAAAAACCCTGCCTGCCGCTGTCGCCCCCTGCGGCCAAGAGTTAACGCCGGGCCCGGGCTAACCACAGGCCTTTGCTCTAAGAAGGCGAGAGCAGGCTGCCTCCCCCCCAGGTTTTCTTCCTCCTCCGAGTCCGGGGAGACCCCCGGGGCGCAGGTGACCGGTCCACGCCGCTGAGCCCGCCAGGCGGCTGGGCCAATGCACAAAGCACCCTTCGGTCAGGCTCCGCGCCCGCCCCACGGGAAACAGACTTGCCTGGTCTGAGGAACACCGCAGTAACACCGACTGGGCTCCGACTCAAGGAAGAAAAGGAAACCGATATTGGCGAGCAAATAAAGCGGAACCCTGGCACCGAAAAAAGGTCACACGCCTCTCTCTTCCTCGCTGGGCTGCAACTCCCTGGCCTGATGGCGCGCTCGGGCCGCTTTGCTCCTCCAGTTCGCATCTGTCCCTGAACAACTCTCCCCGACGAATTCCCGCCTCCCACCCCCTCGACTCCAGCGCCCAATTGCCGAACGAGCTCAAACAGCCAATCATACGCCAAAATCAGAAATCAAGCAACCAATCCCGGCGCGCGGTTAGGGCACGGGACTTCTGCACCCAATGGAAGCCTCGCACTAAGAATAAATCCAAGGTAATTGGCGGCACCGGAAGACGCACGGGGGAAAGGGGAATGATTCCGCGCAAATCTCAGGGATTTGAAAGGAAAGAAACTTCTCCGTTTGACTTTTTGAAGCCGGTGATTTAACCCGTGTATCGTTTTCTTTGGAAATTAGAAGTTTTATTCCTAACGCCTGTCGGTAAACGGAGAGGGAACACCTTTAAACCTTGTCGCGGTCTCCTCTAAGCGTTCTCCAGTGCCGCAGGATTCAAATTTCCAGACTTTTCGAGTACCCGGGGTATCGAGAAGCATGAGGCGGGAATTGCTGGACCGCCGAACCAAACGAGGTGAAAAGGTTCGTGACAACGGGCTACAAGATCTTGATAATCAAGGATTTCCCAGATATCGAGTTCAGCCAGAGAAACGCTCCCAAGGTCTCTCCACCAGATGACTTATTTCTACCTCCATTAAGGTTTATTTCCTACTAAAAATCAGTTTATTCTTCTTTTCCAAGAAGTATGCTCAGTTTCCTGAAAGGTAGGCGGTTAATCGCGATCTCTCCAAATATCTGTTTTTTAATTCTGTAAAGCCTAAACTTGGCTCAAATTGTAGTGTACCGAAAAAGGAAAACCAGATCCAGGTTCTCAAATTTGAGAAACTGTTTTGGGGGGAGAGGTATGCTGCGGGAGGGAGCAGCAGGACACTCTCACCTTTAATTTTACTACATCTTCCCCAAATGACCTAACTTACAGCCATAAAAATAAATTTTACTCCTTAATTTAGTAATTTTAGGTTGAGAAATTCATCCTCAAGAAGTAATCTTTAAGAAAGAAAAATTAGCCCCCCGGGGGTTTGTCTCAGCGGTTAGAGCCTCGGCCCACCGTCCAGAGAGACCCGGGTTCGGTTCCGCTAAGGGCAGTACCTAGGTTGCAGTTTATCCACCCACCCCCTTTGGGGTTGTGTGGGAGGCAGCCACTCCATGTGTCCCTTTCACATCGATGTTTCTCTCTCCCTCTCCCCCTCTCTCCCTCCCACCCTATCTGAACAAAAAAAAAGGAAAAATGTCCTGGGTGAGGATAAAAAATTGGCCCAGGTCAGTATGCTTAGTGGTTAGAGCGCTGGCCTAAGCACCAGAGGGAAAGGTCACCGGTTGGATTCCTGGTTGCAGGTTCCATCTCCTGGTCTGGGCTCCTTTCACTCTCTCTAAAAATCGGTTGCAAAATTATCCTTGAGAAATGATTTAACAACAACAACAAAAATTAACACCTCAGTTAACAGTGTCTATTGTAATACTGAAAAAAATAATAATAAACTTCCCAGCATAGTAACAGGGAGGTGGTTATGATAGATCAATTCAATCATTATGAAGCCAATAAAGAAATTATAAAAACTATGCCCTGGCTGGTTTGGCTCAGCGGTTAGAGTGGTTAGAGCCTCAGCCCGTGGACCAGAGAGTCCCGGGTTCAGTTCCCGCTAAGGGCAAGTACCTCGGTTGCAGTTTGTCCCCAGCCTGTGCAGATAGCAACCACTTGATGTGTCTCTCACGTCGATGTTTCTCTCTCTTCCTCCCTCTCTTCTTCCCATTCTGAAGATAAATGCAAAAATGCCTTCAGGTGAGGATAAAAAAAAAAAAAAGAAAGAAATTATAAAAACTAAACAGCCTGCAAACAAATTCCATTTAAAGTTACATGAAAAAAAGCAGACTTCACACTAGGTATTAAAAAGTATGTAAAAATATAGACAAAGATGAAGGGAAGGTACAAAACTAATTTACTGTGAAGACAGTGGAATAAAGGATATCCTATAAAAATAAACACTTTCAAATTGTTCTGCTTTTATACATTTTTTTAAATATCAAGTCTTTTAAGTAACTGCTCCAGGGTTACTACTATGATTTTTCTCTCCTAAATTTCAAAGGTTCTCAACAGACTCTAATCTTGTGTTGTCTTTTGGTGTATGTAACAACAGAAACCGACCCATCTAGGCTCTGGAACCAGACAGTCCTAGATTCCAGTTCCTTAAACTGTTTCTTTGAGGTTAACAGTAGTGAAATGAAACAAACAAAAACAACTTCATTTGATAAAGAATATGAATGTTTATAAACCAATATTCAAAATAGCTGCACACATCTGTTTTCACTTGAATAAAAAAAATCACATTGTCACAAATTTTATAACTTTAACTTAAAATACATGAATATCAGCATTTACTAATATATTTACACATTTTATTTACATCAACAAATCTGATGAAAAACAGCATACGTTATTATTTCCACACAGCAGGTTTTGACCAGTCTGAAATTTGTCCAGGAATGTGCATTGACTGCATTTAGTTAGAAAACATATTTCAGTCTTTTCTGAATTCCTAGAGGTTACCTACTCACACAAAATATTCCAAAGCCTCAGTTTAAAAACAAAACTGAAGCAGGTGTATTTAATCTTAAAAGACTACAAAACTGCCTTGTTTAAAAATATGAAAATTCTTATGGTATTTTTTTAATGCTTTTATTTTTCACAAAAATTACTTAATTGAACATTAAGCATCTACCATCTATAATACTGTGCACCACTTCGTGATTTGAAACAGCTACAAATTTAGTTCTCATATAATAGCCTTATGAGGTAGGGCCAGTAGTAATCCCATTTTAAAAGAAGGAAAATGAGATGTGACTATTTGCTAGTAAAAAGGTTGAGGTTTAATTTCTTTAAAAATACACTTTCTTATTAGCCTGCCTAATTTCTTTTACAAGTTAAGAGGTCTGTTTCAAGCGGGGGCAAAAAGGGGGCTGTCTGTCATTCAGGTGTATCTCAGAAAGCAAAGAGAAGTACCTTCAACATTGGATACTTAAGAAAAGAAAATGAGGATTATGGATTACCTGAATGCATCTACCTAATAATCACTAGACGTTACTAACAGAGGACTGCAAAATCCTTCAGCAACATGGTATTCTGTTTCTTTGTTTTTCCTTATTTTTCCTGAGGTCCAAACCACTATATATTTTCTTATTTCAAAGATCTTCTAAAATTATGTGAATTATAA